ATTTTAAAGAAAACTAAAGAAGACAGGAAGAAAAGAAGAACAGATTCTGACAAAGGGGGAGACGAGGAAGAGATTGAGGAAAGGTAAGTTCGGCATGACAGTGCCGCTTTAAGACTGGATATAATAGAATAGCTCTCGAGAAAGAAAACAATCCTTAACTGCATCATGGGACAATTACATCCTAGCCAGGTCCCCGTCCCATCAATGGACACCCACAGCCTGACCAGCTGAATGTAGCCCAGCAGTGCTGAACTAGGCCATTGAGAGTGACAGGTGACTGGTCTCATGAGCCACGTCTTGCACCAGCTGGGCCTAGCCCTGACAGAGACCTGTCTGTAGTAGTGGAGGCAGGGAGCCCCACCCAGCGAACCCTAGGTAAAAGGTGAAATTGAATTTAACAATTTAAGCAACAATACCTAATTAGAATACCTCTCATCTGCAGCCATATTCTCCACCTGGCCCTTTAGGGCTGAATTTTGCAATCTGGGTGTTTAGTTAGCTATTCTTCACTGTTTAGTAAATAAACCCCTTTATATAACAGACCTAATACAATAAGTGAATGTTTCCAAAATTTACATTCAAAGCGATACATCCTAACTATATTGTATACTGCCCACACTGTTAACATGTAATGTGCCAGGAAGGGGGATTGATAGATCGTTTACTGTTCCAGTACATTGCTCATCTCACCAGCACATGAGGGGTTAACATGCCTGGCTGCCAAGTAATTGGGACGATTCCAGAGTATGGGTGGAAAGCAGAAGTCAATAGAACAAGCTAAACTAATTGAGTTAACATAGGCCCTGCCTGCAGCGCGCCCGTCCTGCTTTTTTTGCAGCAATTGAAATGTTAAGACCAATCTTTCTCTCAAAGCACAATCCATATTATCGGTCTGGGCATCTTAGGGAGGTTTTGACAAGTTCTTTGAAAATTAAAAACAAGTTGGAATCCGCAATCTATTCACAGCCAAGTGCAGGGAATAATCTCCCTCTTCTGCTCATTTTCAAAGCACACAGATTTTGTGCGCTTCTGTCTAGGGTTTCCAAATCCTGCTCTGCATTCTGATTACAGCTCCAGAAAGCCCATCGTTATTAAATAAAATAAATATGTTGTGTATGAATGAGAGATTAGAGTCTGTTTTTACATCTCGTTATAAAACAATTACTGGACGGAGAGCTGGCTGTTTAATCTCCAGGCCCAGATTTATATACACAGACACACCTGTAAAATGGACAATAAATGACAATAAAAGTTAATTTTAAAAAAGCAGTTTTTAGGCTACATAAGTTTTCATCCCCCTTTTTATGAACCTGCTAGACATTGTGTGGTCCAGCTGCGGAGAGTCTTCAGAATTCACAGAATTAACTCGTCAGAGTCACCAATTTGCATATCAGCATAAATCGACTGATTCTTTAAAATCTAAACAGGAGGCAGAAATACAATTATGGAGAAGCACCATTCACGGTTGGGGAAGAAAAAAAACATTTTAAAATGTGAACATACCCCATTTCATTGTTAAATCAATATATTAAAGGAACACTCTAAGCACCATAACAACTTTAGCTTCAAGCAGTTTTGGTGTATAGATCATGCCCCTGCTTCCTCACTATTCAGTTATCTGCAATTTAGGAGTTAAATCACTCTGTTTATGTAGTCCTATACATACCTCCCCTGGCTGAGACTTACAAAGCCACCCTACACAGCTCCTGAAAAAGAGACAATTTTTTTCAAGCTTCTTCGGTTACGGCATGTGTTTAATTTAGAATTTCTTATCTCCAGCTCGGTAATTTGCCTATCAGAGCCTGTAGTGCCCTCCTGTGTGTGAGTAAAGTTCAGTTAACAGAGCATGAGATCTGAACGATCTGAGTGAAAATGAAACCATTTTTTTTCATGTTGGCTGTGAGAGAAATGGCTAAGGCTTTATAAAAAGAAAAACAAGTAAGTAAAGTGGCAGAGAATTGAGTGCAGGAGGGGTGTGATCTGTACACTAAAACAGCTTCATTAAGGTAAAGTTGTTTTGGTGCTTAGAGAATCTGTTTAAAGGGTTGCTGGACGTACCATGACCACTTCTGTGATTTGAAGTGGTCACATTGCCTACAGTCTATATGTGCAGCATTTCTCTGTGAAACGTGATACATGTAGAATGTAACCCATCTATTGCTGGAAGCATAACTCCACCTCTAGCGACATCACTGGGGCGTCATTAGCCACTAGAGGTCCTGGCTAATATCAATTCTCTGCATATTTGGCGTCTGTCATCAGCACGCAAGGAACGCTGGCAACTGGCAGTCAAGTGTATAACAGGCTCAAGGTGTCCTCAAAGCAGAAATTGAGGGAAAACACTGCAAAGCAGAGAAGATTCTTTTTACACTAAAAACTTGAGGCAATTATCTGAGAATTCTGAAAATTGTGTTTGCTTCTTCTCATATTGATCTCCTCGGCTATGTCTTCGGGCTGACAACACGTTCTTATAAGAGAAAAGGTGTCCTTTTTGCATTTCGATACTGATTAATTTATAAGATCTGGAGCCAGCCGTATGGAGGTTTTGTGAAAATATGAAGCAGAAGGTCCCACTCACTGTATATCTGCACAGATTGAAATGTATCTGTTTAATGTAGAATTTCCAAAACAGATGGCGCGGGCTATGAGAATTCGCATGATTTGTGAATTAAATATTAATCTGATGAATCTCTATCTGTTTTCAGGAAAACACTGCTTATTATTCCACTCTGGTCACACCCAGGATGCCTCCCCAACATAACACGATGATCAGTTAAAGGACTGTTTAGTAACGGTTCGAGAAATAAATGTTCTGACTCCTGACTCACTATTTATAGAAACATTTACTAATTTCGCTGTTGTCAATCTCCTGTGAGCCAAGCCACTTCTAAGGGGATGCCCAAAAGCAGATAAACTGTGTGCCTAATAACACCTGCTTTTACATACCATGTATGGAATGAATATATATTATCATTTAGTATTTATAAAGTGTCGAAATATTCCACAGCTCTGGTTGTATTCAGACAAGATGTTTGTTGGTGAAGGGGACCTCATCGCTCATCTAATTGGTAATATTGTTTTATTACTGTTATTTACATTTAACACTCTATTTACATTGTACTTTATTATAGAACAGAAATAATATCAGATATAATAATGTAGCCTGGAATAATGTCCAAAATGTATAGCTGCTTCACCTGGGCAAACTGGATCAGATTTCACATTAGGCAGAGAAGACACCTGCCTACAGAAACCTGTCCTCTAGAGCAGTGCTCCTCAACCCTCTCCTCAAGGCTCACTTTACAGTCCATGATTTAAGGACTACTAAGGTGTGTCTAAGGTGTTTAGGGTAATCCCTAAATCCTGGACTGTAAGGTGTGCCTTGAGAAGAGGGTTGAGGAGCACTGCTCTAGGAGGCACCTGTTTTCTGCACTTATAATGTACTTTTTTAAAGCTTAGGTGGCTGGTGAGGGGAGATAAGTACTAGAAGTCTTGGCCAGTCCTCTGTATAACGCCTCCAGTGTCTGTGTGTAAGGCTGGACAGGAAGTAGATCAGTCACTTCCCATCTGCCACTAACAGTCTTCAAACTCCACACCCTAAACCAGCGATGGCGAACCTATGGCACGTGTGCCACAGCTGGCCCACCAAGCCTTCTCTGTGGGCATGCAGCCATACGTTGCCGGATCACTACTCAGGGTCAGCGCACCTGATTGGTGTGCCGCTGGCGCAGGTCAGCAGCCTTAGGCCCCACCAGGCGGCAATGCAGAGCAGTCACCTGCCTGCCGAAAATGGCAGGCGCCTACTCTGCTTTCGTGTTGTTGGTCGGTGAGTGGGATGGAGGACTGCGAGGGAGCACTGACTTACGTGCTGTTCCAGCCTGGGAGGACTTCAAACCCCCACCCGCACCAAAAAAAAACATTATTTATGTGCTGGGAGGGAGACGGAGATATACTGGGGGAGGGGGGATATGCTGGGGGTAGTGAAGGTAAGATGCTGAGGGGAAAGAAGAGGATAATCTGGGGGAGAGGAGGAGGAGATCGGGGAGAAAAGAGGAAAAGTGGGGGGAGAGGAGGAGGAGATGCTAGGGGAGAGGAGGAGGAGGATGAGATGCTAGGGGATAGGAGGAGGAGATGTTAGGGGAGAGGAGGAGGAGATGCTAGGGGTGAAGAGGAGGAGGAGATGCTGGGGAGAGGAGGAGGAGGAGATGCAGGTGGGGAGAAAGGGAAAGGAAGAGGAGATGCGGGGGAGAGAAAGGGAGAGGAAGAGGAGAATCTGGGGGAGAGGAGGAGGAGATGCTGGGGGAGAAGGGGAGAGGAAGAGAAGAATCTGGGGGAGGGAAGAAGAGAATCTGGGGGAGAGAAGGAGGAGATGCTTGGGGAGAGGAGGAGGAGATGCTGGGGGCATAA